ATAATGGTGGGTGTTCGCAAGATACGGACTGTTCTCTTAATGGTAATGGTGCTTTTGTTAGTGTTTATTATGAAACAGGTTGGCCAGCGATGGTCTGTCAAGGAATATACCCCAGGAAAGCATGTAATGAGCAGAAATCGCTTAGAGGACCTTGTTGTCATCATTAGAGAATTCGAGACCTTTGATAATGATGTAAGCGAGACTGTTGAATCTGTACTGAGTGCATGTGGTGGAGTGTGTAGGGTTTTAGTTGTCAGTGATGAGACCATATATCCCCCTCTGCACCTGCCAAAGCAAGTCAAGTCGCTGGTCTTGACACCTGGACTTCTGCACCACCGTCCACACATCCCTGATTTTCTCACAAATACGAAATATGTATTAATACTCCCCGATGGCGCGCGGTGTTCTTCTCGCATGCAGTTGCATGACCTGATACACTTGCTTGACACTGGTGATTGGCAGGTAGTTGCAGTTGGTGTGGGTGGATCACCTCTCACATGTCATCGTTACACACTTGACATTCAGGCCTGGACACTCTCGATAGCCCCAGCGCCTCAGAGTGAGGCATGCGATGCAATAAGTGGCCGTGCAGCCATCCTGATGCAGGTTAGTGATTTCTTGAAGCTAACCCATCCATTAGCTCGACCCATCCCAGTTAGCATAGGTATACAGGGTGCATCGCGTTCTTGGAAGGTCCATGTCAGTCGAGGAGGCTTGTTTGGTGAGGGCCGTCAGCTCTACTCAACAGAGCACTTGCAGTGGAAGCATGATTCACTTGAAGAAGAAAGAAGAAAGGCTTTATATGCTGCTCTGGGAATTAAGAAAGTGGTAAGTTCCGGTGGCAACGTTCTGTGGTATGGTTGCACTCGTACAACACCACGGTGCTTTCCAACAGTGGTGGATGACACGCCTGATTACCTCTACCTGGGTCGTTGGACACCACCATGTTGTCTGGAAGGGCTTAGAGCCACAGCTAGACATGTATTTCAAGCTTTGAAAGCATGTCGTGCTCGCTGGTGGCTGGAAGGAGGTTCATTACTGGGGGCTGTTCGCAATGGAGACATCATTCCTTGGGATTATGATGTTGATGTAGGAATTTATGCACAAGATGTGGATCGCTGTCCGCAGCTTAAAGCAGCGCGTTGGCAAACTTTAGAGGATGCAGAAGGCTTTGTGTGGCAGAGGGCATCGGAGGGAGGGTTTTTTAGAGTACACTACAGCACTACCAACCACCTTCATGTGGATGTCTTTCCCTTCAGCCCACGTGGAGGTGCCATGACACGTGGTGGTGCTTGGACAACGGGCCACCGTCAAGACATAGATTTTCCCGAACATTTCTTAAGACCCCTTGCCACAGTTAACTTTGCCGGGGTCTTAGCCTCAGCCCCCAACAATGTGCGGGACTTTTTAGAGCTCAAATTTGGTGCAGGTGTCATTGAGTCACCACAGTACCCCAATCCTGATGTGCTTCTCTCTCGGAATATCTCCATTCTGCCACACCTGTGATGTGGATCTTGCCTTACAGAGGAGTTGACAGGGACAACAGTGGACTCTCGGGCACTTTCTTGGTTGCCGTTGCAGGTATTCTTGTCTTCTGATGCAAATGTGAATGTTTTTACGAATAATTCATCTCGTCTTATTAGTGTGCATTTATTGTTGATGTGTTGTCTTCCAACAATGTGAAGTATATTTTATCAAATTATATTAATATTGAATATCAGTGGAATCAAAATATTGAATAGTAAGTAAAATCATTACGATTGATTTCCTTACATACTCTCATTTGTGATTACTCTTCAGGAAATGTATACAAGTTTAATAGATAAATTAAGCAAAAATTGCTGATGTTGGCTATTTGTGATATAATTAGAAAAAAAGTCATAATGTTTAAGTTTGCAGTGCTCTTGGCATCAAATGTTTTGTTGTTAATGGAATCTGTTGAATAAAATTTCCAGTGACAAGTGAAAAGTGTGATATGTTGAAGAAGACCATAACTTTGCTCAATTACTGTATCCCATTTTAAGGGTTCAAAATTTTGTAAAAGTATGCATGGAGCTCTTTATCATTTTTGACAGATATTTTGTTTGATGTAGTGGAAAGTTTGTTAAAAGCTTATGTATTTCATTAATAGCTTCATTTTGATAGCATAATCTTCTGACATTTTGAAAACTACAAAATGTGACTGCACAAACAGTAGATAAAGGACATCAAACATTGCACATGGAACAGTTATTGAGTTTAGAATGCAGACAATCTAGCTGATTTGTTTTCCTTGATAATTAGTGAGTCTGCTGTTTGCTTATTTATACTGAGTTGATCCAAGGCATTGATTTGATCTGCCAGATTTTGTATTACAAAGAGATAGGAAGTATATAAAAAAGTTGCTGCTGCCAAATAGTGTAGGAGATGTTAGAAAGTGGTAATGTGCTGTGCTTTTAGATGTCAGATTTGGTGTACGTTCTTTTGATGACTGTGAGGTTGTCATTTATTACAGTCATATTTGATGTTGAACTGATTATTGTGGTAATAAATGAAGGATGTGCAGATATTCCCTTTTATTATTATCCAGTGTTTTGAACTATTGGTACTGATAATTTCATAATAGTAATGATAAAGCTAATAGTAATAAGTGCTTGATCATATTTATATATATATACACATGTTCTGTGAATGCATGGAGATCAATTTAATTGTAAGTATTTGTATTTGTTTGTATACAGGCATTTGTGTCTACATATCACAAACACAGAATGTTTTATGCAGTGCAGTGTTTACATTCTGAGCTGGGAATTTTTATAACCCAAATTAAAATCTTGAACTGTTAGTATATAGTACCCCCAGCCATTCCTTGCACACAAGGCAGTAAGTACCACAAGTCTAGAAAAAAACTACTTAATATAAAACAGATTTCTAGAATGATAAGCAACAGGTTCAAAACCCTGAATTTAATCATCATGGAAATGTAAGATGAGTCCTCTCTTCCACAGGCACTGAAAGCTCTTTAACCTCCCTTGCCACCTTCCCTAAAGCCTCTTGATTCTTTTCGAGAGAGGCTTTTATACTGAATGGTACAACCCCATATATTACACCCCACAGTTGTAATTTTTGTTTCTACAAACAGCATACTGCCAAAATGAGCCAACTGGCAAACCTCTCCATTCAGTATCACTTACCGTTAATCTTACTGTTTATAGGCCATACAGATGAAGTTTTGATATATGCACATCCCTCACAAACAACAATATTTATATGAAAAATAATAAGACATGGAAAAAAATCATGAAAGCTGCTTACTCTCCAAAATTACCATCTAGACTGGACCCCTTCTCTTCTTCATTAGAGGCATCTTTATCCTCAATATATTTGGGGTTATTGCCTCTGCTTAGTATATCCCTTTGTACAGTATATACCATGCCATACCACAGGCTGACCATCTGTACTTTAGTTCTGTTGACAATCTGGTTATATTTACCTTTTTTTTAAAATCAATTTGTTTAAAAGAATTAATATACCTACTGAATGCATCATCAGCAGTCATTAGAATTACCGACTAGGTGGACTAGAGAGAATAATGCAAGAATGCTAAATGCAGATTAAGGGAATGTTAAATGTAGATTAAGGGTGAATTCCTGTTTGAAATATCTGATTTCATGTGGATGCTGTTCAAAGTATGGATGAATTCATGGAAATTAACAGGGGTGGCTTATTGCAACAAACTTAATTATAAGCCATCACACTGGCAGCCATCACCTTTGAACTGTAGTCCAACCATTACTCCATCGCCTAGCTTTCTAACAAAAGTTTTAAGGCTGCCGCTAAGAGGCTGATATCTCTTCCTCTTTCTCTGCCTTTTCCTCCTGGTTAGGTGTGCTTGCTGTTAATGGCTAATTCTTAAGGTTCCTTTTGAAATTTTGCAGTAAGCAGTGGCAGATCATGGTGTGCTTGGAGATTTTGGGCAAAGGTGCTGTGGTATCCTTTGAGAGAATTATTAGTCTATGGTAGGCATTAGTTTACTCTCATAAATATTCCACTGCATGTTCTGGAACTGACTAGTGATGATTACGGTCTTGTTATCTTGCACCTGGTCGAGTAGATTAAGTGCAAAGGCTAATAATCGCAAAAGAAAGGCATGATCTTCTTTGTATTTTTCTACCAGACCCAGTCTCTGAAAAGCACTTCTTTAAACAATTTATTGTACAATTGTTGAGGTTTACTGGGAGGAAAATCATAAAGACATAGGCGCGCGCGCATGGATACAAACACACACTCTCACACAGACTCTCTCACACACACTCGCTCACACACACACTCGCTCACACACACACTCGCTCACACACACACTCGCTCACACACACACTCGCTCACACACACACTCGCTCACACACACACTCGCTCACACACACACTCGCTCACACACACACTCGCTCACACACACACTCGCTCACACACACACTCGCTCACACACACACTCGCTCACACACACACTCGCTCACACACACACTCGCTCACACACACACTCGCTCACACACACACTCGCTCACACACACACTCGCTCACACACACACACACACACACACACACACACACACACACACACACACACACACACACACACACACACACACACACACACACACAGTTTCATTACAGTTGAAATTAAAGTCCTATGTTATAGTTGCAACTAAATTACATTTATTACATAACATACATTACATAAGAATAACTTGTGTGTGTGTACATATATATATACATGTGTATATATTTATGTGTATGTGTATATGTGTACATGTATATATATATATATATATATATATATATATATATATATATATATATATATATATATATATATATATATATATATATATATATATATATCTTCTGTTTAAAAAATCAGGCCAATTTATTCCACTATTTTCACTTTAGGCACCCTTTACGATGTTTGGCACACGTCAATTCCACTGTTGACCTCAGAATGGATATTAGTCACAGATTTCTTCTTCATAAAGCACAAAAGCATTGACAACAGCTGAATCAGTCAATACAAAAAAAATTATGCGCCATGTTTCTAGAAATCTGCCACCAAACCTATACTTCTGTTTAGTTTTCAGTCACGTCAGGACAGGCCACTACAGTCTGTGTACCATACATTTGCTTTTAATGGTTGTCATTTTTCAATTCGAAGATTGATATAAATGTGCATTTTTTGGTGGAGCCATTTCTAAACTTACACCGGTAGTTAAGGTTTTTCCTTCGAAGGGAGTTTCCTGTGAGGCCTAATGATAACATAGGCATGTATGCCATTCGTATTTTAAGTCTCAGTGGGTCTTCATAACCAGAACTTGGCTGTCGTATGTCTTGTGGCCGATCTGATTACTACGCTTTTCGTGGCCTTTGCCAGTGGCCCATCCGCAACAGTCACGAGTCACTCGAATAATCCAATGGCAGGTTTTCTAGAATGAGTAAGAAAATTTCCATGAGTCATTTTCCTTGATGCCATGTCTATATAAATAAATTAATATCTTCCACAGTTGGGGGGGGGGGGGGGAGAGAGAGAGAGAGAGAGAGAGAGAGAGAGAGAGAGAGAGAGAGAGAGAGAGAGAGAGAGAGAGAGAGAGAGAGAGAGAGAGAGAGAGAGAGAGAGAGGGAGAGGGAGAGGGAGGGGGGGGGGAGAGGAGAAGATGGGATGGAGAAAGAGAGAAAGCAGTTATTCTACAGTAATAAACAAATAAATGGCTGTCTGTCAAGACTGATGTCGCAACAGAAATTTGGAATATAATCATGGCAATGAGGGAAACACAAGCAAGGAAAGGAGTAACAAGGACCAGGGAAACCCAAGGGAAACAGGAGGCAGGAAGAGAGGAAAACAAAGATAACCAGTAAACATTTATCATATGACTTACCAAATAATGTCTCAACAGACACATTTGTACCGGTATGTATTGTAGAGGGAAAAACACGCAGCGGAACTGGGATACTCATCAGTAGAGAAAGGAATAATATTTTTTCTACTGATGGGTATTTGGCCAAACAGAATGCCTAAGTTTATTTGATAAGAATTTCCCATCTCGATCTGCAGAAGAGAAAACCAAGTAATATTTTACTAATATTTACCCTTCGTTATCAGGGTGATTCGTTAAGTGGTTACTTTCGGTTGTGTGAAGTGCCTTCTTTCTCCTATCTGCTATAACTGGCTAAGCTACTGCAATAAATGGAGTGTATGTGTAAGCTTCCCTTGCCAAGCTATCCCAGCGTCCCCGTATCAGTATCGCCAGCCAGTTCCATTGAAGGTCAATGAGGTAATATGGCTTTGCTACAATTATAGCATCTAAGTGCTTGTCCAGTCATTGCAAAAGACCTCTCTGGTTTGTGCTCTCCACAGTGGGGCTCTTTGTGCTCCAAATCTAGCCATCGTAAGTCGAGAAGTTGTTAGTTGTCTGTGCATCTTTATAACTATTTGGCATGCCGATGTCTATGTGAACATCTCATCAATGAATGATGCCAACCGCCACTATTTTCGAAATACCTTACCAGATATTATAATCCTCTATCATATGGGTACATGGGTATCTTACAGTCACAAGTTAAACACTGTGTGCGTTTGTGTTTTTTCTTCCCTGGTGTGTATGTGCAGTAATCATAAATGGATCTGTAATACCATGATGGCAAAGCCTCAAGTTTAGAGATTCCCTGGACCAAGAACAACATCCAAGATTTCATGGTCTGCAAGTAAAACCCATTCAGTTCAGACGTGCTTGCGGCGGGGACTCCAAAAGCATTCAGAGATTCACATACATCTCCTAAGTGAATTTCATGACTTCAGGATATTATACCTGGAAATCAACAGAAGGCTGCATTGGCAGTAGGAGTCATGAACTCTCGTGGTAAGAGTATCTGCAGATGCTCGTACCCGCATAGGAGGGCCAAGCTGTATTTTCAGGGCCTTGTATTACCAGTTTTACTGTCCAACAGAGATACTTGAACTCTGCCCTGAGTCTCGTCTTCACACAAGTGCACGGGCCCGTGAACATCTGGTTCGATTCCCTGATGATGCCTCCCGGTCAGTTGGCTCTTCCAGAGGCAGTCCTTTATGGAATTCTGGCGGCTCACCAAGAGGGCCTCTCATGGCTTGAAAAAAGTGTGGGTAGGGCAATGTACATTCCTCGGCGCTAAACCCTTTGAATGATTGATTTTACAAACTGGAACTAAGTGTGGAGTGTCGGATTTTGGAGCCTATGTGTGTTTAAAAATGATTATATATTTTAAAGTTTATTACAGTATTTACGGATTGGAATAAAGTTAAGTAAAGTATCATTAAGGGAAAAAAAATCACACAATAACAAATGACAACAGTTTACACTTAATGATAGGTTACTGTAAATCTTTATTTGCCAGTTGAAACAATTACACTTTTTTATACATTATCGGGTTCCATATTTAACTACAATTAGATTACTACTACTTTTTCTTCAGATGCATCTTTTCTCGTATCATCCGAAGATTTGTGTCATCGTATTTAGGATTCAAAATGGTTCTCGAGGCGGGAGCGACGGGCCCTGTCCTCGTGTGCCACGCATACACCTGCAAAAACACACATAATGTACAGATTGTTCATTGTAGAATAGAATTTCGACCTATAGTGATATACTTGTTTTCATAAGAAAAACAAAAATGTATGCACACACACACACACACACACACACACACACACACACACACACACACACACACACACACACACACACACACACACACACACACACAAATGTGGAAACACGAACATTTGCCTTGCAGTCAAAAGGAATACCCAAAGATTACATGGAAATAGTTTACACAAATACAGATGGTCTATGTCCGAAGTTATTAGAACTAGATGCAATTATTGAAATGAATAAATCAGATGTAATATGCATCACTGACTCTAAACTTGATCCCTCCGTAGGCGATGTAACATAAGGATTCACGAGACTATAATATTTGGAGAAAAGATAGGGTAAATGGAAATGGATAGGGTAGCAATATGAACTAAGAAAGTAATTATTATAAAGGAGATCGAGATTAAGCAAGACCCCATAGTAGAACTAAAGGCAATTGAAGTAGAAACAAAGTGGTAAACACAATAATAACCGCATACCATCTCATACATCGGTGTGGTCACAAGAAAATTACCAAAACGTTATTCAAGAAACGTTAAAGAGCCTGGAAGAAGTACTACAACCTTCGGGAACTAACGCAAAAGAAATTCTTGCAACTAGGGGAAAGTTTCGGTCTCAGAGCTCAGCCATATTCGTGGAACGCAATTTTACTAGAAGTCATAAATGAATTTTGTCTCTTCCAGAATGCAGCTAATCACACCAGGAGAAGAGGGCTAGGTAGACCGTCTATGCTTGACCTAATATTTACAAAGTATAAAGATGACACTAGGAATGTGGATTACTGTCCGCCTCTAGGGAAAAGTGATCATGTAGTAATTAATGTAAAATGCTGTCTGCTACAGAAAAAAAAATCGTCGTAAGTAACGAAAGAAAAGGAAATTACAATCACAAAGGAAGCCTTAAGATTTCTTTAATGACATAAACTGGGAAAAACTCCTGAACGAAGGGAACCTTGATATGCAACATTCTCAATTCTATATTCTATAAAAAGGAGTAGAAACATTTGCATTTAGATTCAAGACTAAAGCAAGAAGTGACTAAAAGTGCTTCAACGATAAATGCAGGAAAATGAATGAAAACAAACAGCTCCATTGGAAAAGAACTAGAACACATAGATCTTAGGCATTGTATGAGAGGTATAAAGTAGGACGAAATGAGTATATCACGAGGGAGGCGAAATTAGACTTTGAAAAGGATAATATCAATAAATGTACAAACAAACCAAAGCTCTTCTTTAAATAGTAAAAGTAGAGATTAGATAAGCGCCATCAAAGACAATGACATCGCTTATACTATGGAGGAGGAAATGTGTAAATTCTTTAATGAGAAATTTCAGTCAGTGTTTGTTTATTTTTTTGAAATGGCAAGTAACCGTACAAATGTAAATCAGAATATCGAAAATATCACACTCAAATATAATGAAATAAAGACCTACTGAAAGGGTTAAACAAGAATAAAGCAGAGGGACCAGATGAGATATATCTAACTGGGTTCTGCGGGAATGTGCCGAAGAATTATGCACTCCGATACTGTTAATATTCCAAAAGATTGGAAACTCACTAAACCCTCCAAATTATAGATCAGTTTCGTTAACTAGTGTAGTATGAAAGCTTTCAGAAAGGATAATTAGGAAACATGATATGATATCAAATAAACAATTTGGTTTTAGGGAAGGAGGGATATGTGTAGCAAATCTCCCGTGTTTCTATGATAGAGTTTCTGAAATATTACAAGAAAGAGACGTCTCGGTGGATTGCGTATACTTAGACCCTAAGAAGGGTTTTGATAAGGTGTCTTATGAAAGACTATTGTGGAAATTAGAAGACCTAGGTGGAGTGAAAGACAAACTCCTCGAATGGATGGAAGACTTTCTTCATGAAAGACAGATGAGGGAAGCACTCTACATGGCGACGAGTAACTAGCGGAGTACCTCAAGGATCGGTCTTGTTGCCGATTATGTTTACTATTTTCATCAATGATTTAGTGTCAAACGCAAGCCCAGGTAGTTATCTGAATATGTTTGCAGACGACACGAAATTGCAAAAAAGGATAATAGGCGACGTCTCATGCCAATGCCTCCAAAGTGACATCGAGAACTTAATTATGTGGAGTTGTACTTGGAAAATGGAATTCAACACCAATAAATACCATATAGTCAGGTAAGTAAAAGAGTAAAACTCGTACACTATACTAATACAAACTAGGAGACATCATGTTGAACCCAGCAGATAAAGAAAGAAAAAAAAAACAAAGGAACCTAAGCTCATATGATTATATAAACGACAAGATCCATAAAATGATAGGGCTGATTACCAACATGAAGAAGACATTCGTGTATGTGGACGAAGATATGGTAAAGTAGATAAGTACAGCCATCATAAGCCATCATCTAGTCTTGGTGCAGTGGTATGGAGTCCACACTTAAAAAAAGATATAGATAAACCAGAAAGAGCATAGAGTAGCCACAAGATGGGCACCTACTCTAAGAGATATGAACGACGAAGAAAGGGTACAGAAAATAGGACTTACTACTTTAGAAGAAAGAAGATAATGAAGTGACATGATTATGATGTTCAACTCTATTACAGGAAGGGTGAAGTTAGACAAAGATGGCTATTAATTTTGAACACAAGAAGGACGAGAGAACACAGTAAAAAGTTGAAAGTAAAAATAGACGAGAAAGATGTCAAGAAATAACGTCGTGTGTGTCAATATGTGTATCAGTTTACAAAGTTATCTGACAATTCAAATATAGCAGACAGGACCATCTGATCTTAGGTTTCTCTTTCGTAATGAAACAACTAGATAAGGACTAGGTAAGAACACACACACACACACACACACACACACACACACACACACACACACACACACACACACACACACACACACACACACACACACACACACACACACACACACACACACACACTCACAAGCACACGTGTATATAAACATAAATTGAATGCTAAGTATATATCATCATTCATGTTAGTATTTATTTGTTATGTACGTGTCTGTGATTCTGTGTTTAGCTTTGTATTTTTACTGAACAGTGTTCTATTTATATGCGTGCACCGACTTTAGTGTTCATAACACATACCCCGGAACTGCAATTACCTTGGTACAATTGTCCGCAACAAACTCGACTTCATTCATGGTGATGTTGAGGCTCTTCAGTATGCCGTCCTCCTCGTAGCCAGGCACATACGGCATACTCGCTTTCGGTCTCTGCGGGTGGTGGTGGTGGTGGTGGGGGTGGGGGGTTAAGTTAGATACACGTTTACACTTACACTCACGATCCACAATCTTCGACTCCTCAGACTGAGTATAGGAACTTCTATGCCCTTACATAAAAGAAATGTTGCCCGCGCTAACCATACAGATGTGTATTGAATATATTGCAATGACACAATTGTATTACATGCATTAAAAATACATGGCAGAAAAAGCTTCTTTAGTTCACAAAGTAAGTCCCTCCACTTTCATTCTGTGATAGTGCAGGCAATCATTTCCCTATGAAAAAGCACGGATGGTCATATACTCGGTCTTGGTGGGTCGGAGATTGCGGATCGTGAGTCTACTTACAAAAGGGACTAAACTGTATATGGCTGCTGCGCAAGTCTTCATACTTCGTTTACTCTGGTTTATCATTTTCATGATCTTCATATTTATTTTTAGTATCATCATACTTATGTATTATTGCCATTATCATCATTGTCATTGTTATTGTTGTTGTTGTTACTATTATTATTATCATTATTATTATTATTATTATTATTATTATTATTATTATTATTATTATTATTATTATTATTATTATTGGGGGTGGTGTTGTAATTATCATCATCTCTTTCTTTAACAAAAAACAACACACACCAGAGGGAGGGAGGAAGTAGGAAGAGAGAGAGAGAGAGAGAGAGAGAGAGAGAGAGAGAGAGAGAGAGAGAGAGAGAGAGAGAGAGAGAGAGAGAGAGAGAGAGAGAGAGAGAGAGAGAGGTGACAGGCAAGAGGCGACGATTTCAGACGCGCCCGTACCTTTTGCAAGAAATTCACGTTGATGGCAAAGCCGGCCATATCCACGGGGAACTTCCGGTTGCTGATCCACCCGTCGTAGAAGGAGACGAATTTCCCATTCTTCACAACTGGCGTCGAAAGGCCTTTGTTGGTCACGAGGCCCACAGGGAACATGGACACGCGCTTTGTGTACCGCATCTAAAGAGGAGGGAGTTAAACATTATGCGTTACTGTGTGTGTGTGTGTGTGTGTGTGTGTGTGTGTGTGTGTGTGTGTGTGTGTGTGTGTGTGTGTGTGTGTGTGTGTGTGTGTGTGTGTGTGTGCGTGTGTGTGTGTGTACATAATATCTATCAACATATTCGTTTAAATATATTTCTACTCACCTCGTCAAACACTCTAATATCATAGGTGTTGTCGTCGTCCGCGAAATAGATGACCCCGCTGGTGGCATGCTTCCGCACCCATTCCAGGCCCCCGTTCCTGTTGGCGACGCCCTTCGGTTTGGATCCCGACTTGATGCGGTACTTGTGCGGCATCGGTGCTGTGGAGAGATTAATTCGCGCTTGTGGTAACGGGCAAGAGTATTATACATTTCGTTTTATTCATTTGAATGCAGTAGAGAAAATTTGGTGGCTTGCGTTTTTAGTTGAGTAAAGGGGAAGGCATTTTGTGGTTCATTTGTTTGTGGGGAAATTGAGTGAGTAGATTATCGATGTTACATTAGTAGGATCTGTTCGTTCGTTTGACTCACCTAATCTTGGAGAGAGAATATCAGAACCTTAAGAACATATTTCACAATATGAAGTTATTTGTTCTTATTCATAACTTTTTCAACATTTGTCAAAATGAACTCTATTCATTAAGGTAACAGATAATCCTGTAGACTGTAATTGATCTATGTATATAGAAATTTCGTCATATTAGAATATACTGTTTGTTATAATGCTGTACTTTTATATATATTTTTAAAAATAGAATATCTTTATACTCCTCGTCCCTCTGGGGAAAGAGCTCGTCTGCACTAATTCATGCAGTATTGTTTACACACACCTGCGTGTATCAGTGTATGTGTGTCAATGCTGATTTATATTTTCATATTTTAGCTAGTTCTCATTTACCGCCCAAACCCTTGCTCGATGTTGCCGTGTGTATGTGTGTGTGTGTGTGGGGGGGGGGGCTTACGAGGCAGAGACATATTCAATGTAGGGATCTTTGTGCCTTGGGCCTTAAGCCATAGCCTGATCTAATTTTGCTGGGTCTTTTTTTCTCCCTCTTTCCCTCTCCTTCTCTTCTTCCTCCCCTTATTCTGTCTACTTATCCAAATCGTTAACTCATATTTACCCTTTTCGCCACAGTACTTTGTCATGATGCTGCGTGACTTTAGTCTGGCACTTTCGTTTTTGACCATTCTAGAAATCCTCAAACATTGCCTTGTGAAAAAAAAAAAAATAGCCGAGGGTTTCGCCCCATATATTTTGCTATATTTTGATTACGCCGTTAATAAACTTAGATGTTGACACGACAGAATATTTTCAATAAATAAATAAATGTTCCAACATAGTTGTGTACATATTTTTTTCGTAGCCTGTGTCTTATTACCTGCTTCATTTAAGGGTCATTTTTTTGACAAAGCAGGAAGTGATCTTAACAGAGGCTCATGCACTAGGTTGTTACACTTTCTTCACGCATTTTGGTGATGATGTGGCTACAAGATATAGACGTGTAAACGTTTGAGACCAGTGTATGACGGGTGTCAAACGTAAACAATTGTAAAGAAAGATGCAATAAATATGATTCCAGATCTATATTGTTTGTATACAGTTCGCTTAGTCAACAGAATGCTGCATTTTTCCAAAAAACTAGCATTCGAATAATTTTCTTGCATGATACATTACCGTATATGATTCACCCTGGTAAAGCAGATACCACATCCATTCCCCGTTAATATGCTTATTAATTGTCTTGTAGAACCATCTGCCGTCAAGTATATATCGACATTACTGTTATTATTATCATTAGTAGTAGTAGAGGTAGTAGGAGTTGAATTGTTGTTGTTATTATTAATATAAACACTATTATCATCATTTTTCACCCAAAAACGTATGGCTAAGGCAACACGAATGCACAGGATCTCACTGGTAAGATAGGTGTAGGGCATGCCTAGGTGTTCCAGCAGCTCCACGACGTGCGGGTTCGTGTTGTTCGAGTCTTCGGCGACGATCCAGTGGAGGCGAGGGACGTGCATCAGGGTCTGCCCCAGCCGCGTCAGCTCGGGAATCTGGCGACGGTGAAGGAGAAACTGATTTAGAACTCCGTAATTAACAGTCGTGTGAGATCGTTCTTTAAAAGTCTAGAAACCGCCGACGATTGCGGAAAAAAAAGGTCAGTAATAAATCTAGAACTCCGAAATTAACAGTCGTGTGAGATCGTTCTTTAAAACTCTGGAAACCGCCGACGATTGCGGAAAAAAAGGTCAGTAATAAATCTAGAACTCCGAAATTAACAGTCGTGTGAGATCGTTCTTTAAAAGTCTGGAAACCGCCGACGATTCCGGAAAAAAGGTCAGTAATAAATCTAGAGCTCCGAAATTAACAGTCGTGTGAGATCGTTCTTTAAAACTCTGGAAACTGCCGACGATTGCGGAAAAAAATGTCAGTAATAAATCTTGATTATGGTAACCGTAGAGAACAAGATCATTAATAACTTCGGGGTTTAATCGTAAGAATTTAAAAAGTAGATTTTTTTCACCCTCCTGCTTCAGTAGAGGATTCTCGCTAGCTTCGTTTTTCATTAAAGGGTGACAAGATACAATTCACAGTTTATTCAGCCACATTCTTGACAGAGGAAGATTGCATGGTCAGATATTCAAAAGATGAGAAGTAGTTTTACAGAAAAATAACACCGCAAGATATCTGTATGTATCGTGTAGGAAATTCAATATTCGAATGTCACCCGAATCGGTAATGAAGTCACTCGGAAAATGAGAGGAATGGTTCGAAAAATGAGATGCAGATCGCGTTAGAACCACCCAATATGCCATGAACCAGTCAAAGCAAACACTTCCACACGGGAGCATTACGCACATTCAGGACAAGTAAAAATACTAGATCAAAAGTGGTGAGTATTAGCGTCTATAAAATGGAGATCTTTGGGCAAGGAGTACAAGCAATAAATACAGGAATAACAACAGAATGAGAAAATGTTGGACTAGTGAACAAAACGTGTCCTAACCCGCTGGTTGCATGTTCTGACCCCTTTATTTAGACTGTGAATTTTGATGTATATTGATGTCATTAATGTTGATGCAATTATTATTTTTATAATTATTATCATTATTATTATTATCATTATTATTATTATTATTATTATCATTATTACTTCCGCCAAGGAGGTTATGTTTTTGACGGCGTTGGTTTGTTTGTTAGCAGCGTAGCTCAAAAAGTGCTGGCCGGATTTCATCGAATTTTTGGGGACAAGTCAGAAAGGAACTAACTTAGAACTGATTAAGTTTTGGTGACATTCCGAATTACCGTCTGGTTATTATTATTATTATCATTATTTAATCAATATATTTACTATCCAAGTTCGGTACACAAATCTACGGCAAACGTGTGCCATATTTCACTATCTCCCATTTTATTGTTATTGTTACCTCCGCCAAGGAGGTTATGTTTTTGACGGCGTTGGTTTGTTTGTTGGTTTGTTTGTTTGTTAGCAGCGTAGCCCAAAAAGTGCTGGCCAGATTTCATCGAAATTTTGGGGACAAGTCAGAAAGGGACTAACTTAGAACTGATTAAATTTTGGTGACTCCGAATTACCGTCTGGACGCAGCAGCGGTGTAAGTACATTATATACGCACCTTGGCGGAGGTCTGCACTCTCTGAGTGCTTTTCTAGTCATTATTATTATTATTATCATTATCATTATTATTGAAATTGTGATGATTATATTGTTATTTGATTAAGTAGCAACAAATTATAGAAGAAACTTTCCGTACCCCAAGGCAAAAGGTAAACAGGTGAGATAGGTAGGGCTAGTAATTATTGACTCCTTGGTGTGACTAGGCGCGTGTGAACCAATCTCTGTTTAAGACAATAAACTGAAATCACAGTGAACATGTAATGACATTTCAGTACTACGTGTTAATCACATAAGTAATTTACAGAACTCGAAACGCCACTGCTATTGAAAACGAGTATTACTTGATATTAATGAGAAAATTCTGAGGTAGATTAAACATCGGAAGTTCAGTTACTATCTCCCATTGAGAATTATTCATTTTCACCTACGGATATTTTCTACATCTGTCCTAATTGAAATCTAATTGAAATGAGAGATGAAGGACTAGTCTTGCGGTTATTTCATCAGCAATTATGGACGTCATAACAAGGTATCGTTGATGAATGTGGGTGTCATATTATGTAGCAAAATCCGTTTACAGCTATATTTCTGACGAGGAAAATGCTGACTGTATGTTTTCTTTTAAAATTAATGTTTTCTCTTAACATTGAATTATGATTCTAATTGAAATTATGATTATAAAAAGAATTGAAGTGAATCGGTTTGTGTTCAGGATAAAAAGCTTAATTAATGTGTTTCTTATTTTTTTCTTAACTTTTTATTTATTATAGAACGGAATGAATTCATCGATAATGAAGAAAAAATAAATTGTCATATGAATAAAAGTTATTTAAAAAAAATATTTAAAGGTAATTATTCACATCTTACTGTAAAGAATTCCCCCATCTTACCTGCACTGGCCGTTTGTAGGTTGGCGTGATCACGTAGATCGTGGGGATGTCAGCATTGTGCATCGGTCTTATGGCCGGAACAAATTCTTCCTGATTGGGTACAGCTGCCCAAGAAACACAAAGAACAAAAGCGATAACAATCAAAACTTGCCTCTTTCAATGGCTTTGATGCCCGATTCAAACACATCGGTTTTCCCCCATCCGCCGTGGGCTCTAGTAATATTTACTAATATCCATCTATGAATCTTGGATAGCGCGACGCCGTGCCCTCCAAAGGCGACACCGTTGACCACACGAGTTTATATGGACGAGGAAAGCGGTAAAGCGTTGTCTCGTGCTAAATGGACCACAACATCCGTCCTACTGGTTAATTCTGAAGGCTTGGCACAGGGAAAAGTTAAATTGCATGGACGAAAAAAATGACTTTTGAAAAATGGTACAGTCACAACGAATGATTGATGTTAGATGGGCAATAGTCTTTAGTACTTTCCATGCCGTGGGAGGGAGGCCGTGAACTGCCTTTTTCCAGTAGTGTTCGATGCAAGTAGAAGCCAATGGGTATTTGAAAACGCGGCATCGTGCAGCCCACCGTGGATGGGTTAAAATCGAGCATCTGAAACAGACCAACAAACATTTCTCTCTCTCATCCCTTTTTCTCTCTTTCATTCCTCTCTCCCTCCTGTCATTCTCTACCGCCCCTCTCTCTCTCTCTCTCTCTCTCTCTCTCTCTCTCCTCTCTCTCTCTCTCTCTCTCTCTCTCTCTCTCTCTCTCTCTCTCTCTCTCTCTCTCTCTCTCTCTCTCTCTCTCCCTCTCTCTCCCTCCCTCCCTCCCTCCCTCTCTCTCTTTCTCTCTCTCTCTCTTTTTCTCCTTCACCTCTCCCACCCTCACTCCCCCCTCCCCCTCTCTCTCCCCACCCACTTACGCATTCTGAGGCCCTCCATCGGCCTGCCATTTTCGAAGGGGATGCAGCTCATCCTCTCGACTCGCGACGTCGACATCTCGTACAGTATCATCGTCACCGCCATGGCCAGGAACCCCGCCAGCAGGTACTTCGTCACGAGTCTCCTCCTGTGAGAGTTATTGCGATGCGGGTGTTTAAGGTAACTGGTGGTGGTGGTGGTGGTGGTGGGGGGGGGTTACTGGAGAGATTTGTTTGCTCTTATTTGTGCAGACTGGAAGAAAATTAATTAGTAGCCAGTGTTATGTGTTGAGTATGCGCACAGTGCGCGCGCGGCCACACGCACGCACACACACACACACACACACACACACACACACACACACACACACACACACACACACACACACACACACACACACACACACACTGTAGGAGGTCTTACAAGAGTATGTATGAATGGTGAGCTTGGGGTCTAAGACAAACATCCAAGCTGTCATGATTTCCTTGATCAAAGAGTAATGATATTGGGGTGAGGTGTTGTTCCTCGTTCCTCACAGGGAGTCTGCCTGTGATATTATTACACAGTGCTCAAAGTATGGCTATAAATCAGGTATTTAGCATGTGACAGGTGAAATAGGAATAAAGAAAGTATTGTAGAAATGCACAGCTCTTGCGGAAGGGGAAAAGAAACACAGCATCAGTGCTCCTTGCGTGCCAAGAAGAAAGGAAGAAACAGGTAAATCAGTGAACAAGTGTAGATGTATACTGTATATCCATATGTGTGTGCATGTGAGAGAAAATAGGTGCATTATAAACATATAGTATTATATAAATCATATATGTTTATAAAATATAACAATAGAATAACATTGACACTTATTTTCATTACTCAATCACTCACTCACTTACTCATTCACTCAACCAATCAATCAACCACTCACTCACTCACTCACTCACTCAATCACTCAATCACTCACCCAATCAATCAATCTATCTATCAATCACTCACTCACTCACTCACTCAATCACTCAATCACTCACTCAATCAATCAATCTATCTATCAATCACTCACTCACTCACTCTCTCACTCTCATTCTCTCATTCTCTCTCTCATTCACTCTCTCTCTCTCTCTCTCTCTCTCTCTCTCTCTCTCTCTCTCTCTCTCTCTCTCTCTCTCTCTCTCTCTCTCTCTCTCTCTCTCTCTTCCTTCTCTCTCTCTCTCTCTCTCTCCTCTCTCTCTCTCTCTCTCTCTCTCTCTCTCTCTCTCTCTCTCTCTCTCTCTCTCTCTCTCTCTCTCTCTCTCTCTCTCTCTCTCTCTCTCTCTCTTCTCCTCTCTCTCTCTCTCTTCTCTTCCTCTCTCTCTCTCTCTTCCTCTCTCTCTCTCTCTTCCTCTCTCTCTCTCTCTCTCTCTCTCTCTCTCTCTCTCTCTCTCTCTCTCTCTCTCTCTCTCTCTCTCTCTCTCTCTCTCTCTCTCTCTCTCTCTCTCTCTCTCTCTCTCTCGCTCTCATTCTCTCTCTCTCTCTCTCTCTCTCTCTCTCTCTCTCTCTCTCTCTCTCTCTCTCTCTCTCTCTCTCTCTCTCTCTCTCTCTCTCTCTCTCTCTCTCTCTCTCTCTCTCTCTCTCTCTCTCTCTCTTCTCTCTCTCTCTCTCTCTCTCTCTCTTCCTCTCTCTCTCTCTCTCTCTCTCTCTCTCTCTCTCTCTCTCTCTCTCTCTCTCTCTCTCTCTCTCTCTCTCTCTCTCTCTCTCTCTCTCTCTCTCTCTCTCTCTCTCTCTCTCTCTCTCTCTCTCTCTCTCTCTTCCTCTCTCTTCCACTCTCTTTCTCTCTCTTCCACTCTCTTCTCTCTCTTCCACTCTCTCTCTCTCTCTCTTCCTCTCTTTCTCTCCCTTCCTCTGTCTGTCTCTCTCTCTCTCTCTCTCTCTCTCTCTCTCTCTCTCTCTCTCTCTCTCTCTCTCTCTCTCTCTCTCTCTCTCTCTCTCTCTCTCTCTCTCCCCTCACTCTCTCTCTCTCTCTATGTGTGTGCATGTGAGAGAAAATAGGTGTATTATAAACATATACTATTATATAAATCATATATGTTTATAAAATATAACAATAGAATAGCATTGACACTTATTTTCATTACTCAGTTACTCAATCACTCACTCACTCACTCATTCACTCAACCAATCAATCAACCACTCACTCACTCACTCACTCATTCAATCACTCAATCACTC